AGCCGTGCGGCGAGCAGGCTCTCTTTAGCCCTAATTTATTTGGCTAGGCTCAGATTGTTAGGCCTCATACTCTGGCGGATTTAGCAAGTTTGGAGGCGAGCAAAGAAAGACTCGAGAGTCGCAGTCGAAGTGTATGGGGCCCCAAAATTTTTATACCTACATTTTTCGCTATCAATCACATTCCGCGAAACAACAGTGAATATAATTGTATACTAGAATTTGTGATACGGATTATATTTTATAGTATAATTCCATAATATAAATAAATATTCACCGAACTTCAGATTTATACAATAAACGTAATGAACTAGCTACCTATTCGGTTGAGCATCATAATTGTACATGCAGGCGTTATGCATTAATTGAATCTAGAATAATATCGTTCTGGTTTACAATTATTCCTATTGCAATCGGGAATAATTGTAATATTACCATTTCCATTGTCAACAATGACTTTTTTACGATAATATCATTTTCTCCGTGGCAACTGGCAACATGCAAACGCGACTCCGTAATTAGGTTTATTATTCACGCATCTCAATTTTGTACTGAAGATTAGAAAAGAAATAATTAATGGACTACAAGAAGGTACTCGTGTATTCCAGACGACGATTAGCTATTGGAAGCGTCAATTCTTCATTCCTCTTATGTCCTATGACAAAAAAATGAGTCGTTGACATGACCGTTTAAAGTAAACTAAGCGTAACAAGAGGAGTGTGTAACTTGGCTCATGGAGAGCGGCGAATCGCGACCCCACGCCGGCTCTAACCAGCAGCAACCTGGGAAACAACTCAGCTCCTGCGCCAACCTAACTAATTAGAAGAATAAGAGGCTATTCTCGCCTCTTACTCTAAACTTTGAGTAGAAAATTTTATTGACTCCTAATCGCACCCTCTATGTGATTTCCGCTTCACAAAATTCCTTATTATTCAATGCTTATTATAAGAATGTGAGAAATAGGCTAGAAGACAATCTGTTATCTGTACTGTTATAGCATTTTTAACTAATCAGAAGTTAGAACCACTACAGCTTCCAATTTAATGCTGCATATTACTCGTCCGGAGGAGTCTTTTTTGAACTTTTAGGGATCGTTGAAGATTTTGAAATAACCATTAGAACTAGGGTAATTTTTTACTCTCTTTCTAAAAATTACAGTCGCAACTTTGATAAATGGAATGTGTAAATTTTCGCAGTGATTTTTTTCTATACATTAAAAGATTACTTCTTTATTACTTTTAAAACTTATTTTTTTAGTTTGATAATAATTTCTGTTTTTTTTTCAGGTTCCCATGGCACATTTATCCTGGAGTGACATTAGCGTCAAGAAAGGCTTTTTTTCAAGCCTCAAGTCAAGGCGGAAGTAAAGGAGTTGGCATCTGAACGAACTCAGAATATCTTTGGAGCCGATAAGTTTCTCGTTACATAAAACATTTCATCACCACGAACAACCGATCGTAAGACTTCTATGCGTGAAAAAAATGACATCCATGAAGTGAGAAAAGGACACCATAATAATATACTCTTTTTTTTTTGGAGAGACCGATTATGACAAAACTTATTGAGGAATTACTGCGGCAATATCTGATACATGGTCTTCTCAGGAGTGTCGAATTTTTCTTAACAAAATTTGCACGAGGAAATTTTTTTAGGTGAGAGATAAATCTTGCTTACATAGTAAATTATGTGCGGCTTATAAAAAATCATTTACAATTAGGATTAAAAATAAGATACAAGCATTGAACTCGTGAAAATTATGAACGCGACTAATTTAGCTAACAGGGACGTCGGGTGGAGATGCACTGGAAAAAGTTTATCAGTTTGTGGAATTATCTTATTAAAATTAAGTAAACAACAATCCCTTCATTCGTTCAACCAATTTACGACTGTTCAACAACCTCTTTCAAAATCTCGAACGCGGAATCCACAATTTTGACGGCCAAGGCCTCCTCCATTAGCTGCGTGTTGTACTGCAGAGAGTGCATGAGTTGACCGTTGAGCGACTGGAAGTTGCTACTCCACAAGATGGGTAATAGGGTGGTCCTCAAAAAACTTTTTTTCTTGAAAATTAGTTCCTACCTCAAAAACGGGTTCCTCCAGAGGCCTAAATAATATCTCTAAAATATTTTTCAAATCGGTTAATATTTAGGGGTTGCTCAATGGTGTCAAAGTTTTACCCTTATGGCTCAGGGTCATTGGGTCCGTAGAGTGAACAAAGAAACGGGCCTAAACATTGGGGTTGTTCACAGGGGGTCTAAAATTCAAATATAGTTTTCCCATGTTCCTACATCACGCTCTGATTTCTTTATGGAGAGTTCTTAATGCGTAGAAATTTTGAAACTCCACTGAGCACTCCCACAAAACTCCAGAAACTCCCACTGGGCCTGAAATCGTCAACAGTGTGCCCGATATTTCTCCCATGACTGCCTGGAATGCTGCGCCGACGATAAGTTCATGAATGTTCCCGGTGTTTGATGCCATTCTATCGAAAAACCGCCAGCACACGATCCTCAATCCCCAACTCCCGCAGAAGCGCGACGACGGCATTGCTCCGCACCCTCCCCATACCGTTGGCGAGCTTGGGAATACCGAGGAGTTGTACGGCTCCTTTCCCGCTGACAAGGACAGGTAGATGGTCCACGTGCTTCTTGTTCGTGAGGTCCTGCATTAGCTTTTCTTCCCAATGCACCACCACTGTTTCGCTCATCTTTAAGTCCGCCTTAAGCTGTGAGGCGTACATGGCTCGGTGCTTTTGCCGATATCGGCGAATTATTGAGGAGCAGTTGATTGTTAACATCTTCTGGCTCGTGGCCGAAGTCTCGAGCTGCTTTGGTACGAAGGAACACAGCTCCTCTGTCGCTCACCTTGATTCGGTCAAGGGAAGCTGCCAAGCCTGGCGGAATCACGTTCTTTGCCCTCATCGGTGGAATAACGCTTGTCCCCACAACTTTCTGTTCTTGTTGCACATGGAATTCCTCTTTCTCCTCCGCTTTAGGGCTGCATCACGTGGAGGACGAGTCGCCTGGGTCCATGGCAGTAGAAGCCGATGTTGACGGCTGCTGTGCCCAATGACAGCGATCATCATGCCCTTGCCACCGTTTTCAGTTCCGCTCTTCCTTACAGGCAAGTTCGGCATCAATGCCTCCCATGTACCCCGGGCGGCCAGACTGCCGCTGCGCGACAAGGAAGGCAATGTATTCCTCAATCTTCATGATCAAGGGCGCATCCTTGTGGGCCACGTCAAAGACCCTCTCCAGTTTCTCCTTGAAGACGGACTCCCTCTTGGTCTCGGCCTTGGATTCCCTTGTGACGATTATTCTTGACTTGCTAGTATTCTTGCTTGATCTTTTCCAGCTTTGTTAAAATGTTATCAGGACGCATCGTTGGAATCCTTGCACGCTCCCAGAACTGGAGGACTTCAAAGATGACATCCTTGAAGGCGTCATCGTAAGTAGCGCCATTGCTATGATGGAAGTGGACAATGGCAAGAACTTCCTAACACGAAGGAAGCTTTGCTCCCGTCAACGTGGGAGAAGGAGACGCTGAATATCCCCTCTTCGCACGTGTGACAGTCGCCATTGCCTATCTCAACCTTCAACAATCCGTGGATGAACACGACTGACTGACTGTCAGAGATACACACTGCACAACACACTCTGAAATGGAATCAAGTCATTCAGGATGGAACTGGACAAAAAATTACTGTTCAAGCATGTTCAGACCTGTTTATTTGTTCACTCTACGTACCCAATGACCCTGAGGCATAGGGGTGAAACTTTGACACCATTGAGCGACCTCTAAATATTAACCGATTTGAAAAATATTTTCAGGATATTTTTTAGGCATCTAGACGAACCCGTTTTTGAGGTAGGAACTCATTTTTAAAGAAAAAAGATTTTTGAGGACCACCCTAAATTGGGTAACGCTTGCACCGCGGTCAGCTGGTCATAAAACAGAAGATCAACGTTTTCGCCGAAGTTAGAAAGGATATCTGTAACGTCCCTCATGTTACTGGTAGAATAAGTCGCAATTTTGGGAGGAGGAGAATCAATTCCCTTCGAGTCTATGAAGAATCGGGGATTCTTCCCTGTTCATTCAATGAGTATATTTAGTTCCATGCTATTCATGCGGTTCAACTCATTCACAAAATCCTGGTGGAATTTTTTTACATGACTCCAAAAATTGGAACATATGTCTCTGGGAACATCGGTCGTGAGCGTCAAGACTCCCAAAGCTGTACCGTATGCATTTGCAGCGTCATTGAAGTAGCGTCGTTGATCAACGCAGTGTCTGGAAGCAATCGTGTAACGATCCTGCATCAAAAAGGCATCTTGCAGAGCTTGAACTACACTCGCCTCCAACACTGAGCAGAAGCCTGAGTGAACCGTGACGCCTTCTTTCTTGCAACGTTCCACAAACTTGGTGGTGGAAATACCGTCTAAGATGCGCGGTAGACTTACAATTTTAGGAAGTGTTTTGGACGGATGTTCATAGACTTGGCTTAAAAGAGCATCCGGAAAAAAAGTGTCTAACCTCTTTGAACGGGCTTTTAGAAGGTCTGGATTTTCACTGAATGCGCGCTCTATTTCTTCAAAAATTACATTTTGCTTCGTTATATCGAGTATTTGCGCATACTGCTGGGACTCATCAATGGGGTTCCCCTCAATTACATCGTTCAAAAGCACCAAGACGTGTCGGATGATTCGCACGCAAGTGTAACCGTCAGCTATGCTGTGGTGGAAGCTCAACACAAAGTGGCAGACGTGAGGCAGTGTAATGACTTTGTTATCCGCGTTTTCCATTGTCGTTAGCCTAATATAGTCATCATGTTTTGGTGACTGAGGCAGAAAACGCACGGCCCACACTGGTCCATCATTCATGTTGTACTTGTAGCCTGCCATTTCTTCGAACACAGTTTTCACGTCCACATCCAGCAACGTCTGTGGATAGAAGTAGCATATATTTACACTGGCGATTAACTAGTCACTATAGTTTGAGCTTGCTACATAGGCGCGAATCCAACATCGCTGAAAACTACCACTATGTTTTCGGTCACCAAAACATATTTTAAGATGATCATTAGCATTACTTCAAACAGCACCAAAAGATCTGATAAGTTGGCTAATTCTCCAAACAAATGTAGAATAATACTCACCTGAGTACCAAACTGAGAACATTATAATATCACATACAATATAACAATAGACGAGCGGAGAAAAAAATTTGATTCATTTGATATTCATTGGCTGTTCATGAGAACGTAAAGCTAACTAGATATTGTTCCATTCACTAATTAAAATCTCTAAAATATATTTTCTTATTTTTTCAGAGCTGAGCCTCATTCGTTTAGACGGAACAAAAATTAACGTATCACACCCCGAATATGTCAACATTAATTTATATGCATAACAAGATAATTGTAAAAATTTATATCACCTTCTTCATAATTTAGTACCATATGAGTATGAGAATATTTACAATAGGCACAGGAAATGTTCATCATTTTTTATCCACTTTCGTCACTACACATTTTCTTTAAAGAAAATATTGTATGTTATGTATCTTTCTGACATTGTGTGGAATTGCTTAAATAGTATGTTTCTATAAGTAAACGTATGAATAAACTCCGTTTATAAAACTTTATAACAACCTGTAAGTCGATGTCTTGGTGGTGCTTCATCTCTTTCAGCCACAGCTGCCCATCGCGCTCGGCTGGCACCATGCGTAAGTTGATTGTCTTCCTGCATGCATGAAGAGTACGCTTGAAGCAAAAGCGCTCGCTTTATTATTAGTTGGTTGAAATTATAAAATTCTCTTTGACAAACTAGGATATACGATCAATCATGGACGGGATCTTGGACGGGATCAATGGGAAACAGGTTCATTTGTTGACCATATAAAGAACTTAATCTTAAAATTTTAGAATCTTTAAATTTGACCATATCTCAAAATTTGCTGAGAATTGATTTATGGTGTGCATATAAAGCAGTTACCCACCGGAGGAGGAGCGTGAACACTCTTCTGACATCGTCCTCGTTGGTTGGTCGAGATGTCGCAATGCGCACAACATAACTAATGCCGTAGTTGTGGTTGTCGTACAAGTAGGCTGAATGGTTCTCCAACTCTCCGAGTGGACGATACCATCCTCCATACAAGCCCATCTGTAAACATTTAAAAAATTTTGGGTAAACCAAATAAAGGTAATGAAAAATAGTAGATCGCGAACATCGGGCTGGTGAATTGGATGCCAATGAGTTTGAGTGGCAAAACTTCACGAAACCTTGAATGCATGTGTTTTGTACCGTTACCAGTAAACGTTTTCAAAACTTGATTGAACTTTTCCGATACATTAATCATTCACCGGCACTCATATACCGGATTTAAAATGGTAATATCTGATACTGAGTATCTGGTTACTCAAATAAAATATTACCCATTGGTCTTTCGTTTCATTTTATACCGTAAACGGCTGAAAATATATAATTTCGCCTATTCTACAAGTGCGCGAATGGATGACAGACTAATATCCAATAAAAACATACGGTACGTTTGTTTGTAGAATCCAATTTTCGATTTTTTGGTGTTGAAACTCGCGAATATTAACAACCCTCCGCATTTAGTCTATTGTTCCTTCGTTCGCTAAATAGCGTTGGTACGGAATGGCTGCACAACGTATTTTGATAGCGTAGAATATATTCAATTCACGCTGAGACAACCATCATATAATAATCCAATGGCAACCATTTTATATAATAGTGTTTTGTGACCAACATCACATGATCACTAGGTACTTGACAACCATCATAAAATCACTCTTAGAAAAATACCGCTAATTGCGAACCTCTTCCGATGCTCTGCAAGCCACTCACACACACTAAAGCTTAGGAACAGGATGGACTGCACGCTCACCAGTGTTACAAAACAATACATTTCCTGGGTACCCGCAGCATATCTTAGGTAGGCTTGTCACCGGATGACAATTGATAACGAGTTTTCAGGATCCAGTTATTACTGTAAAGCATTCGGCATGAGTTAGCACGCAGAAGAATAATCAATAATATCGGCAGATTAGTTTTTCGTTTCGTCTCATCATGTTACATGATACATAAAACTGTTGAAGAAAATCATAAGATTTCCCAAGCTCATCGACGACTTAGGCTGAACAACGGAAATCCCCCTTTGTCGTGACCTACACAAGCATATAGTTCTTTCCCAAAACAATCTAATAGTCACAAGTGCATTTCGTTCCAAAAAAAATGTTAAGCTTGCATATATTAATATTTTTTAACCGCAGGTGGCCATGCACATCAATAAACTTATTTTCGTAAAAGAAATATTAATATTATCGGATATCTATAAAACTTGTAAGAGAAGCCGCTCCAGAATTATTTCCAAATTTGATAGGCTGGAGCTGATGCCAGACACTAACCTTATCCTCAGGGGAGCAGCTGCGATGTGAGGGCCTCTCGCTTGATAAGTGGAAACCTTGACTGCCGGCTATGCTTCGGCATCACAAGCTTCGACATCAGGCAATGCCACGAAACTGTTCTCGTTCGCGCTCAAAAGTACTTACGAAAAAAATACTTAAGTAAGGTGATTTGCAAAAGCGTTGTTACTGTAATGCACATTAGACTTCGAAAGTTCATAGAAAAATGTCAATGATTTGTCTATCTTAACAGCAGCTTTGGGTACGGGTACCTTGGTTTGAGAGTATAAGAATCTGCTTCGCAATATAAAATAATAGCAGAGCAAATTCCAATGGTGCCTTTATGTCTGGGGCATGTAAATATTATTGGTAAATTGTTGAATCACTAAACTTTCGCTCTAACAACGCTTTTTTTTAAATTTTGCTATGATGACTCCAGACTCTAGAGCATTCATTTTTCATTCGTTACGGGTTGACCATACAAAATGATTACGTGTCATGATAGTAAAAGTTTGTAAACTATATAATGATTATATTAATGGATTAAAATTCTTGAAATTCACGTTCTCCCTAACATGGTGCTGCTCGTATTGATGGTATTTTCAACTGATTTCTAGCAAGAAATGGCATTGCATCGGGTTGGTATTAGCTTTAGCCTATAAGCTGAGGCTGTTTATTACTGCAGGAAGTATGAACAGGTTTTTAGCGGGAAGCTGCCGTAGATGCTGTATGTGGGAGACATAGTCTTTCAATACCTTCGATTCCTAAGCTACGACTAACGTAGAAGAATTTTCCGAACTTAGAAACAACTTCATATGCAGGTTGCGAAACTGCGCAACAGAAACGGCACTATGAATTTGAATTAATTGTTCCATCCTGAATAAATAATAGTTGCAACAGCGAGATTATGTTGAATATGAATAAATGACAGTTGTAACAGTGTGAAAAATATGTTGTTTTAGCGTGGCAATAGATTAATCGTTATTGAATAATCATGTAATCCATCTAGCATACACCAGAAACACCTTACTCAGCAATGCTTCGTTATCATAAGAAAGGATAAAAGATATCGTTTTATGCTATCTTATCAAAGCGAGTTTGGGTACGCAATAAAATAATGCACTTTTCATGCACTTCTAGATATTGTATATAGTATATATTTACGGCACTCTTTTAACATTATAATTTGCCTTTAAAAAAACATAGATTATTTATTTATGTTTTAGAATTCAGGGAACATATTGGACGGAATGTTCAACATCGCGAGCTGGGATAATCACCACATATTATATATATTCAAGAACCACGAACCTTGAACGACGCTCGTTGACCATCTGCCGACGCTGTAGCACAATGAGATTAACTGTAGCACATCGTGTATCTCACGCGTTGATGAACTGATTATCAGTTTATATCAGTTATCAGTGATATTATATGTTTATCAGTGAAAAAATGTTTAGTTACCGTCAAGTCATTCATATATTACTCTTCTATTGAGTTAATAATTTTTGTACAGGCGCCCAAACCCGAGGCAAGTAGAGTCACATCACTTTTAAGCGATCGCAACGCTGACGTTCTCTTATTATTTTTCTAGCTTACTGCTGTCTACACGCAACAAGGACAAGTATAGGGGCGCTCGGGTAAGATGGAATAATTAAGTTTATCTAGAACATAGAAGAAGTTCAAACTAAATTACCCAAAGATCGTAAGTTAAACGAGCATTAAGAATTCATTTGAGTTGAAGGCCTCAATGATAGAAATGTATATTACTTTAGAGAGAAGAAATGTGCCATCTGATTCGTTCATATTACTCTAGTCAAAAATAAAAGAACAAGTCTTTGGAAACGCTAGCGATGACACAGATATATTTTCATGACAGTAATGTGGACTATACGTTTCAGGATTTTCAAATTTTATCTAACATAAATTTCTCAGTCTTCTTTCAAGGAATAATACAGTTTTCGCCTTGCATTTATTTAACTAATTTATTCAGCTGAGGTAACAAAGACACGCACAAAAAAATATAGTTGTACGAACTAGCTTTATCAGCACGCCTAAGATTGCAGAGACAGAATATTCTTTTCGTTTTCATTGCAAAAATTATAGTCCTCTGGCTAGTCTGCGTGTAAATTGAGACGATTGCGGACGCATCAAATTTTTCATGTATGGCCATGAGAGAAAATTATGCATCTCGTCAACCCCTCCAGCCCATTCACTGTTAAAATAAGTTTGAAAAAAGAACTGTGGACGGCTACGAAAAAGAGATGGCCTCAGCTCTATCGTGTTTCTTCTAAATGGGCAGCAATATTGTTTTAACTGTCTCACTTCGCTCGCAGTCATCCTCAGCTATATAAAAATACAATCGCTTTCATCACAGCTTGGACACTTAACGTCTCGGACAAATTTAAGGCCGGACTTGTGGCCGGTCTCGCGGTCGGTCAAACGGCCGGTCTCCAAATTCAAAGATCAAGGAATATCTCCCAAACTAATGAAAGCAGCTCGAATGAAACTTGGTACACGTACTCATTAGGACCTAACGGTGATGTTTAGCTCGTGAAAATTTTTGAAATTTAGCCTTCATTCGTGAGTTATGTGGCGATAAGGGCCGAAAGTCGCAATGACCAAGGAATTTCTTCTGAACTACTGAACAGATTTGAACGGTATATTGAATATGCATTCCTAACTAACAACCGGTGATGTTTAGCTAGAATTTTTTTCGATATTGCCTTCGCTCACGAGCTTTTTTCCATTCCAGCTTCATTCGTGATTTAAACAGCATAATGCATTTCAAGAATGTTTTCTTAGTGAAAAATAAAATATTCGGGTTAAGAACACTGGTAGTAGGGGTGAAATATATCCATTACATGACTGAAGTATTTCTACAATTTTTGGTCCCTGTCAGAAATGTCAACAGAAAATACCGGGAAATATACAATTCATCTTAAAATAAAATGCTTAAAAAAACTTAAAAAAAAAACACGTTATTCTTGTGGACTTAAAAAGTGGAAAATAAATTATGGTTCGCCGCAAAAAAACGTGGGTCGGGCTGTACGTTCACCATCAAATTTCCAAAATTTAAGTGTTGTGTGCTTTTCGCTTTAATCATAAATCTGCCCGACACACGTTTTTTTGGGGCGAACCATAATTTATTTTCTACTTTTTAAGTTCACAAGAATAACGTGTTTTTTTTAAGTTTTTTTAAGTATTTTATTTTCTACTTTTTAGTCCACAAGAAAAACGTGGTTTTTTAAAAAGTTTTTTCAAGTATTTTATTTTCTACTTTTTAGTCCACAAGAAAAACGATTAAGACTTGATTAAGTATGACTTGACGTACGTATCAATGATACGCAGCGTTAGCGCCTGCTCGTCTATAACGTGAGCGCCCGCACGTCATATTATATATATACTATATATATACTTTACTCAATTAAACTAATTTAGGTCTCTAATTGCTAGTTTTTATGATTGTATCTGAAATTGTTAGGCGAAAATAGCCTGCATGCCGAAATTCAGATCTGTAGAACAATCAGAAGTGGGCGAATTTTTGTTGTCAATGTTAACGACAAACAAACAAACAAACAAACAAACAAACGCGAAGCTAAGCTAAGATAAAAAAATACTTAAAAAAAAAAACTTTTTAAAAAACCACGTTTTTCTTGTGGACTAAAAAATAGAAAATAAATTAGGGCTCGCCCCAAAAAACGTGTGTCGGGCAGATTTATGATTAAAGCGAAAAGCACACAACACACGAATTTTGGAAATTTGATGGTGAACGTACAGCCCGACCAACGTTTTTTGGGGCGAGCCCTAATTTATTTTCTATTTTTTAGTCCACAAGAAAAACGTGTTTTTTTTTTAAAGTTTTTTTTTAAGTATTTTATTTTCTCCTTTTTAGTCCGTTGCTACACATGAAAAACGTTGTTGCGAGCCAATTTACTTGACTTATAGAGCAATCAGAAGTGGGCTAATTTTTGTTGTCAATGTTAACAACAAACAAACAAACAAACAAACAAACAAACAAACGCGAAGCTAAGCTAAAAAAAAACGTGTTAAAAAACGTGTTAAAAAGTCATGCCGGCCATTTGGCTCAAAAAGAGCCACTGGAATTTCTTAAGAAGCCAAGAAAGTGAAATTTTTTCTCATCATTAATATAATTAATTTTCATTAGTCACTGAATTTGGAGACCGGCCGCGGGTCCGGCCGTAAATTTGTCCGAAGCGTCTTGTCAGTTGTCTCGTGCATCGCAAAAGTCTAGGACAAATTTACGGCCGGACTTAAGGCCGGTCTCGCGGCAAACCTCCAAATTCAGTGAACAAGGAATATCTTCCAAACTAATGAACGTGGCTCGATGAAAAGTGAAGCACGTATTCATTAGGACCTAACGACGATGTTTAGTACGCGAAATTTTTTGTTTCACCTTCATTCGTGAGTTACATTATATGACAATACGTGCAGAAATTCGCAGTGAGCAAGACATTTCTTCTAAACTACGGGACAGATTTGAATGAAACTTTGAATATACAAATCTAACCTCCCAACGGTGATGTTTAGCTCATGACAATTTTTTAGATTATACCTTTGTTCGCGAGTTGTACGGATATACGGAGGAACGACCGGCATTTCTCAGGCCGATTTTTAAGGGGAGCGTCTGGGTCCCAGAAAAACTTTTTTATTTATGGACGGAACACTTTGAAACTTGGTAACAGAGATTTAGCTCCAGTATCGTCTGGTCTTGCATCCTTGCAACCTTGAATGCCGATTTCGAGGCGCCCAGGACTTTGTCGGGCTCCACTGAACAATCACACTTAATTATTGTCACTGGAAAACTATCTCCTCCTACAGTTTTGAACCTACAACAATGAGAGATACATATACCATTCGATTCGCAAATAAAAGATCTAGAGAGTAGTCATAGCTTTTTTTCAATTTCGTTCTAGTTCCGAAAATATTTCGAGAAAAGGGGGAAATCGGAAAATTTTCGAAAATTTCACAAAAAATGCCTCCACACCTGCAAAAA